TCTTGGCAGGCATTTTGGTATTAACTTGTCTTCACTATGATTAACTCACTTATTTTTTTTTCCAGAATGTTAGTTATAATATATGCAGTGAAAAGTAGGAGACAACATAACATGGCTGTTCACAACAGGGATTTGGGAGTCATACCTCCTAAATCTCAACTTCACATGGTAATTGGGTAGACTGGGCAATTAACCTCTCTAAGACTCAGTTATCTCTAGGCGTAACAATACAAATTTCTATTCGTGACATTTTGGGGGGTTCAATGAATGAAGTCATGGCTAAGCACCTAAACCACAGCCTAACCTATAATAAGCACTCACCATTGTTGTCACAATAAATATCATTTGAAACAAGTCAGAAATAAACAAACTAACCAACCTAAAATGCTAGCCACAATAGAAACAAGGCCTGGTCCAGCACCAATTTCAAGTATTTTAGCATCTTGGAGATTCAATTCCTCTGCGTGTTCCTCCAAATACTGACACAAAGCCGTAGCCTAAAAAACATTTACAATAATTTTTAACCTCAGCATTGGAACCTTGGAAACCAGTAAAAAAAAAACCCTGCCCCCCATCCCAAGTGAAGTACTAAAAGATGTGTTATTAAGTAGTTTCAGCTTACTGAAGGGTTCATAAGAATTAAAACATACATTCAATGCCATATTTTGTGTGCCATCGAATTGATTGCGACTCATAGCGACCCTATAGTACAGAGTAGAACTGCCCCACAGGGTCTCCTAGGCTATAATCTCTACAGGCGCAGATCGCCAGGTCTCCGCCCCTGCACCCCGCCCCCCCAGCGGCTAGTGGGTTCGAACTGCCAACATTTCAGTTAGCCATTGAGTGCTTAACCGTGGCACTACCAGGGCTCCTTATTGCCGTATTTAGACCTTTGGAATATAGCTTCTACGCAGAAAGTAAAAAGTTTAAATTACATCTGAGGAACTGGAAAAACAGACTTGTTCACAAAACTTGCCTATATCCGAAGATTTCATCAATGTCCCAGAAATTAGAAGATCAGCCCAGTTGAATCAGGGGAAGGTAAGGCTAAAGACCAGCAGCTTCCTCTGGCTTAGTCATGCCGAGTCTCCGGCTGCTTTATGAACGTTACTATATAAACTTAAAACACCTCTCTGCTGACTTCTTTGTCAAAATACAGCTTGATTAGGACTTTTGTCTTTTATATTGGATAACTAGGCTGTTATTAAGTGTTTTAAAAAGTGGCTCATCTGAGACACTCCGACAATCAGAACAGTGCTTCTCAAACTTTAGTGTGCACCCGAATCACCTGGAACTTGTTAAAGATGCAGATCCAGGAGGGCTGAGGTGGGACCCAAGAGCCTGCATTTGACAAGCTCCCAGGCAATGCTTACGCTGCTGGTTCACAAACCACACTTCGAGTGGTAGCAAGAGACTAAAAAAAAATTACGTGGATAAATTAAGATAGATTTTTAAAAATGTATAAATACAGGAAATTAAACATCCCTTTCCTTCTTTCTGGTGACACAGTCATTAAGAACTTGGCTGCTAACCAAAGGTCAGCAGTTTGAACCCACCAGCTGCTCCTTGGAAACCATATGGGGTAGTTCTACTCTGTCCTACAGGGTCGTCATGAGTCGGAATCGACTTGATGGCAACGGGTTTTCTTCCCCCCTTCTTTCTTCATTCTCTTCTGTCTCCACCTTTCCAACCTTTCCACAAAGAAAGGAAAGGATATTTGATTTGTATTAATTCAGGAGGTGTTTATGCCACTGAAGTGTCAGCTAGCAGTGCCCTGGGTAAGAGAGATTAAGAAGCGTTATTCATGAGGACATTACTTAAACTTGAGTATAAGTATAAACAGCCTAGAGTTGGGAATGTGAACATTAAGATTAAAAGAAGAAGAAAAATTGAACTCTAATTTGCTTACACTTTTAGACCTTAACTAAAGACGTGTCCTCATCTCCCTACAGAACCTCTGGACTCATTATGACTCCACTTTCCATTTTGGGCCTAGGCTGGAGCTGAGGGCAGCCAGGATTATTTAAAATGAGCTGCCTCACCATTGCCAGTGGTCGGATTAGTAGCACACCTAATCCAATTGGTCTCTCTATTTCATCTTCCTTCAGTCACTGAACAAACGTTTATCACATACACATGCAGAGGTGAATACCACACAGCCATCTCTACTCTCAAAGTGTGAAGTGGGGAGAACAAGGCGTGTAAACCAATTACAATCTGCATTACAGCGACACAAATAGCACGGAGGAGGCATAGACAAGGCACGGCGGTGGAAGTATAGTGAAGGCCAGTGGGAGTCAGAGCTGACTTCACGGTGCCAGGGACAGGTGACCCGGCTCTTGAAGGATGATTGGGAGTGACAATGAACAGGAGACAGAGACACTCCAGGCAGAAGATAGCATGTGAAACAGTAACACGGGTGAAACTGCACCCAACAGCACATGGCACCTAATTTATGAGTTGAGAAGGAAGAAGTTTTGGGGAAAAGAGTTTCTTGGTTCTTCAGGAGAAGAGATGATTATTCTCTCCATGTAGGTTTCAATATTAGGAAGAGAGTGTCACCCGGAACAATCAAGAGGACACGTGCTTTGAGAGATTTTCTGAAGAAGTAAGTGGCTGGAGGCTTCCTTCCTTAAGTCTTCTGACCAGAGAGAGGCTGGCCCCATTTGAGGTGATATCAGGAGACAACTTTTCTCGGCAACAGTTGCATCCTTTGACATTTCGAACACTCTCCCCGGCCCGTTAACCTTATTAGCAAACTCTGAAAAGTGAGAGCTGTGCTTGAAGTCACACAAGAAAAAGGTGTTTTCCCACTTTATAGAAATCCTTCTTCGGCAGCTTTCAGCAAATTGAGGTCCTAAGAAAGACTGGTGCTTGCTGTGTAAAAGGCTGAGACCTTACTGAGAATAAAACAGTCAAGTGGACACATGTTATAGTTGCCTATTTGCCAAATATAACTGGGGAAGCTGGGGAATACTTTGGCGGTTTTCAAACTTGTTAGATCAAAGAAAAGCCTATGTTTGAAGGAAATCATACTTATATGCATAAGG